TTTTTGTCTTGCTCTTCTTCTTGATGATGTTGATATGCACCATCATCTTCTGTTAAGGAGTAAATATTCAATATTGTAGTGCATCTTCAAAGAAGATGTGCATGAAGGAATGATTAAGTCATTCAATTAAATTTTTAATCATGCAACTTTATCATAATGAGTAATAGATCTTTTTAATCTCATATCTTTTTTGTTTTATTTCTCGGTTGAACGGATTTGTTTTTTCTTTCAAACAATCAATATATCATCATCGATTAATTGCATAATGGATCAAAAGAGACTATCGTTCTTGTTCATCTTTTTTTTTCTTAATATGTATTCTTCGCTCTTTTTTGCTTCGTCTTTTAAATGTTTTTATTCATCATTCGATAATGGGTATTTCCATGGGATCTTTACGACGTTTACATCGAATATTTCTAAATTGACTGAAACTTTCAGGATTTGCAGATCATAGTGAGATATGAAAAACATACGGACTAGTTTTTTAAAATTCATTAATAAATAGAAGAATGCCGTACACAACATTTTCATATTTTTGTATAAAATCACGAAACTAGGATTTTGTGAAAAAATATCTTTTCTAAGATTGATTCGAATTGAACACATAAATTCAAATCGTATTAATATTTTATACATATTCTGAAAGCTCTTGATCTTGGCTACATTTTGGCTATAAAATATTGTGATTTTGTCAGGACTTTCGCGTTGTCGCCCTATGTGTATGAGGACACACTCTTGTGCATTTTGTCACTAAAAAATGTTCGTAAAACCTGAATTCCAGAGAGTAGCCCTCTAGGAGATTTTGTAGAGAATCAAGTGCTCTACAAGATGCACTTAACTCGAACTCTCTCGTTTTCTGCTTGATAAAATCTAAAAACACAGGAAGACGAAAACTCCTCTTCTTTTGACAACTTTAAAGAAAAGTATATTCATAGAGCCCAACACATTGTCAAAAAAAGTTTACCGATTTCGATGAAACTTTCAGCGTTTCTAGAGCTTTTAACTCTGAACATTTTGATAAAAAATGTTTATGAAAAGATATCATATTAAAGTAGATGATAGGGACATCATATGAAACCATATAAAACTACTAGATATTCGACCAAATTTAGCTGTTTTTACCATAATAATTGCATCATAGAGCAAAACAAATAGCATATTCAGAATGAGCACAAAATAAAATGCATCGATCCACATAATTTCCAAAAAAACTTTTTCGCATCGAAAAATGGCTGTATTCCTCCTCAGGTCATTTTCCTATACAAATATTTGCGTGTGGTCCCCTTGGGTTGAATTTTTCAGGGAAAATTTTTTCTTTTTGGAAATTATGTGGATCGATGCATTTTGTTTTGCGCTGATTCTGAATATGCTATTTGTTTTGCTCTATGATGCAATTATTGTGGTAAAAACAGCTAAATTTGGTCGAATACTTAGTACTTTTATATGGTTTCACATGATGTCCCTATCGTCTACTTTAATATGATACCTTTTCACAAACATTTTTTTTTCAAAATGTTCAGAGTTAAAAGCTCTACAAATGCTGAAAGTTTTATCGAAATCGGTAAACTTTTTTTTGAGAATTTGTTGGGCTCTATGAATATACTTTTCTTTAAAGTTGTCAAAAGAAGAGGAGTTTTCGTCTTCCTGTGTTTTTAGATTTTATCAAGCAGAAAACGAGAGAGTTCGAGTTAAGTGCATCTTGTAGAGCACTTGATTCTCTACAAAATCTCCTAGAGGGCTACTCTCTGGAATTCAGGTTTTACGAACATTTTTTGTGACAAAATGCACAAGAGTGTGTCCTCATACACATAGGGCGACAACGCGAAAGTCCTGACAAAATCACAATATTTTATAGCCAAAATGTAGCCAAGATCAAGAGCTTTCAGAATATGTATAATATGTTAATATGATTTGAATTTATGTGTTCAATTCGAATCAATCTTAGAAAAGATATTTTTTCACAAAATCCTAGTTTCGTGGTTTTATAGAAAAATACGAAAATGTTGTGTACGACATTCTTCTATTTATTAATGAATTTTAAAAAACTAGTCCGTACGTTTTTCATATCTCACTATGATCTACAAGTCCTGAAAGTTTCAGTCAATTTGGAAATATTCGATGTAAACGTGGTAAAGATCCCATGAAAATACCCATATTCGTCATTGTACTGAAGAGGTACGTAACGTACAACCAGAGCAAGGAAATCCGTAATAAATTTCGGCTTAATTACGATAATATTGATATTATTAATTTGTGACGGCCATTTATCAGTAGATATTAATGTTGCATACGACTCTTTGTTGTTCACTCCTAATTTTAATTTATTGCCTGCATGACTGACGAGAGAGAACGTGATTGAGATTTCTTGTTGCTTAAAATGTTCGTCTATTATACTTGCTGCTGTTACATCGGATGGTTGGCTCTTCGAGTTACCAACTTGATCATATTCAATTAAAAAACATGGAAGGTTACTTGAAACAGCACGTTTTAGCTGTTCAAACGGAAGATGACGTTGCTGCTGTTCAGATGCTTGTTGTCGGGGCTGATCTAGTACAGGACTTCTATTTATTAAATTTACAGAATTTGTAGCCATTGACATATTCATATGACCAGGCTTTTTTTGTTTTTCGTTCGAAAAAACACGTTGCTGTTTTGATATTTGTGCACCATCGCTATCACTTGCGTCTAAGATTCGTTTAGGTGTTGATGACTCAATTGGAGCGTTGAGATGTTGCGGATATGGAACTTGAGTAAGATGTTGATGAACACCGAATGCAGCACTGGGATTTTGACGAATGTACGCGATCATTTCTTCCAAATTGTAACTGCTTGCTGTATTCGTATTTCCAGCGATCGTTCGTTGATTAGATTTTGTCATGGTGTTGATAGATGAGTTGTTTAATTGCAATTTTGTTGATGAACTTTGCTTATTAGAACGATATGAATTATCCTATTCTACCCTGCACATCACTAGTTTAGTAATGTTTTAGTATATATACAGGGGCCGCGCGAAAGGTCTAAGATTCGGGGGGGGGGGGGGGGTAGCAGGTTTTGAAAGGATGTAAAAATTTTTGGGGGGTGTAAAAGGGTATTTAGAGCAAAATTTCTTAAAAAAAACACAAAATTTGTTTCAAATCTGCTCCCGTCGCTCAAAAAAAACAAAAATTTTCAATTATTGGGGGGGTGTACACCCCCTCGCTCGCGCGGCTCCTGTATATATAAACACGTTAACTATTTTATCGGAAACAAATTTCATGCTTAGTTTGATCGAAGTCAAGTATATTCATTTAAAGCATTTATATATTGTGGTTACAATTCAGTTTTAGACTTCGTGACATTATTTAAGGCACTGGATTTTATATATAGATAGAAATTGATTTTCATATTTTTTTTTACCCTCTACATAGTTAATATAGCAAAGATCAGTTGAAAGATAAAAGATGTGATCGTAATGATGAAGTTGGAATCGATTGAAAGCTAACAAAACAAAACATATTAATACCTATCGACTTCCGAGAGAATCGTTCCAAGTATCAAATCAATTTTCGATCGAGATGATTCTTACCTGACAAATAATAGTGAGTAAGAGAGAATTACTCAATAATACTCCTTAAATGATCATTGTTTCAGTCGAATAGCAACTCGACATCTGAAGAACTTTCTTGTAAGCTATCAAATTGTTACCATGTCTATTTCCTAGACTACACTAGTTTTCAAAAAAAAACTGGTAAGTTTTGCCTTCGAGCCATAGTTCAAAATTTGGCGGTAAAATTTTTCTTCAAAATTAATTTCTCACGAGCACAGTATTGGAGGCCTGTTTATTAATTCATTTAACAGCATTTCGAAGCCTCCTTAGCCGAAAAAAGTCAATATCCATAAAAAAAAAATGAAAACTGGAATAAATAGATGGGAAGACAGCTTATGTTCTACTCTTTTGGAAACAGCATGATTTCAAAATCGACAACTTATTTTGAAGCAAAGCTTTTGATGTTTTTATCATGCACTTCTTAAACGACGAGCTTTTCCTAGAAAGAAGAAAACGTTTTTCGTTTTTCTCTCAAATTATACTTTTCGAACGAGCAACCCAAATGTTTCTATCCAGTTGTTTTTGAATATGTTTAGTTTTTCATTTGAAAGAGTGCATCGAGATTCAGAGTGTTGCAATAGTGCTTTTTAAAATAAACGTTGTTTTTTATTATGCATGCGAAAACTTATGTAAATTGACGTTCATTTTTAGAGGATTTTCTGAATTATTGAGCTTGAAATCCCTTTTCTCGGCTTAAGTAGCAAGAATTTGGAAAAAGGACTGATGTTCTACGTCCTGACATGCTTCTTCAAATGAAAAAGTTTTTTAACATGTTAAAAGAATCGGGACATAGAAGAATGAGTTGCGATACGCGTTGTTTTTGCCTTGGTTTGGCTCATGTCTCTGTCAAACATCATGGTATAGGGTTCAAAATTTTGCCATACCATCTTCATTTTAATCCTAATATGTTCTGAAACTTTCAGAGAATTTGAATATACATGATCTTCAAATCTACTTTTAAAGCGAGGTATTAAGAGTTTGAGGTTAAAGGAATGCTTTTATTGAGAACTGATGTATTCACAGCGAGTTAGCAAAACCCAATTTTATTTTTGTTCTTACCTTCCGCTCACCAGTCATAGAGTTTTCGAGCTAGTACTCGTGTGAAAGATTGCCTACCATCTTGACAGCTATTTCTTTTTTAATAAAATTATAAAACTGAGGATCAATTAAGTTTGTTATAAGCTTCTCATTCAAACCGTTTACTCAACTACTGATGTTGACAGTTAATTAATCTCTTTATGATTGTTTTTATATAGTTATTATGGACAAAAAATCAGAAAGAAGTAAAACTTTAATCTGCTTCATAATATAAAGCTTAGAAAATATGGAGAAATGACATATAGATGAAAGATGAACAATTGGAAGAAGTAATTTATCGACGACAAAAGTCTTGCCCATCTTGAAATGAATTTTTTGTTTGATTTTTGATGGATGAGAATCGAACGCAACACATATATATACAGAAGAGTTTGAGACATTTATGCAGCTCATAACAGTTTTATAAGTCCATGCTGCCTCTTTGAGCAAAGTAAAACTATGTAGACACATTCATTTTCGGACGACTTATTTAAAGTTGAGATGCATTGTGTGATATGAGGCCGAAATTTCGAACTGAAAGATTTCTACTGAATGAATTACACTTCAAAATTTCGTTTTTAGTGTTTTTGGTATTGCCCATTGACGAAAAATTGCTAAAGCTCTTTCCTCTGAATGGTCAAAAGTTATAAATTCTAACTCACTTCATACTAGCTATCTTATCTCTCAAAAAACCATCGAAAAATGGATATATTCACATACTTTTACTTTAGTCAAAGAAGAAGCAAATACTTATAAAGCTGTTATATACTGCGTAAATGTCTCGAATTCCTCTGTATATATATGTGCTTTAGTCTATTCTCATACATCAAAAATAAAATGAAAAATTCATTTCAAGGCGGGCAAGACTTTTGTCGTCGACTAATAGAATCCTTTGGTTTTAGTTTCCGTTTTAAGTCACCAACCACAATAACCTTTATCATTTCCATTACCATACAAATCACTGATATTTAGCAGATTATCAAATATTCTATTATTTTCTTGATTAATATTAACATTAACACTTTCTTTTGGTTCAACTAATAATGACGTGTAATTTTGTACAGTTCTATCTCGTTTTCTTTCTTTGTACAAACTAGTACAACATTTGCTACAAATAATCATTTCCGCTTCGAGTTCACTAACGAATGCTTTTTCGCATTTTTTCTACATCAAATATATATTAAACTAGTTCGTATAGCACTAGAAATATGAACAAATGAACTATACGTTCAGACAACAGAAAGAAAAAAAAATACCAACCCTGATCCAGATTATAATCTGGACAAACATCAATCTGTGTACATATGTAAGACATTGTTTGCCCCACATATATCAAGAGTTAACAACTCATATTGTTTCACATTCAACGCTTTAACTTTAGATAAAACTTAATACTTGAAATAATTAGAAAAAAACATTAAATAGAATATGTTTTCACATATACAACTGATAGAACCTAATTAACAAATATACAACACAGTGACATATAATAGTATTCATATAACAAAGAAATATATTTCAATTTTTTTTTTTGTTACTTAAATATATAAAGAAAGATCTTCCTTCCATATTACAGGAAATTAGGAATTTTTTCAAAGTAATAATAGAAGCTAAACTATCGGTTTTGATTTTGTTACTATTTTTTTCCTTATAAATCAATATACTGAAAAAAGAAAAAATATATTCTGTTCTATTTATTCAACAGTGCTTCTTAATAAGTTTTGTGTATGTAATTGGTATCAAATCTGAACTGGACCTGTTGATAAATTCCATTCATTATAAGGCAATATAGAAAATTAGAATATGCACACTCTTTCAGTATTTTAACAATTTATTAAAAGTATATGTTTCTTCACAATATTTACTTTATTTATTCATTCTTATTGAAGAAAATGACTATTTTAAATAAAGAATAGAAAACTCTATGTGTTTTCATTATGTATCAGTTGTGAAAATGTGATTTTGACAAGTGTAAGATGAAGTTTCTATCAACAGGGAAAAAGTTGAACATTTTTAAACATTCTTATCTTCCATACTCACAAGAAAAAAAGTATCGAAAATTGATCAACATAACACAATCTTACCTTCTTTTTATTGATTTCTAGGTTCTATAAAATTTCCAGAAACTTTAGTAATATCATTCGTAAAAAAAACTCCAAAAACAAACTTTAGAAAATAGTCTCTAAAAAATATAAAAAATCTGCAAGGTTGTTACAGTGTTGACTATGTTTCTCTACAGGCTTTTCGATTTTTAATATGATTCTTATAGCTAATGATAGATCATGACTAGGTATAGTTAGTTTCTGAGAAAAAAATCACGTTATTACCACTAGGTCTTGAGGAATTACGAAAGATCACAAAGATATCAATAAAATTTCAATTAAGAAATTTATTTTCTCCTTTAAAACGAGATAATGAAATAAGTCAAATTGTAGAGCGAAAAAAACTTTACAAAACTAAGTAGAACAATAATTGTTATCATATCCTGATAACCGACTAATATAATGTAAAATAAAATTTTGTTTTCGCTTTCGATGATCATGTTTAATTTCATCCAAATTTTTAGGGTACATAAGCAATATCTGGACTCACAGTTGTCCTAATATTTATAGTTCACAAAACAAAAACAACATAAAATGCAAACATCTTCTATTTATTTCCTTCAATTGAATGCGCTTGACATATATATCTATTTTTATTTTTTGCTGTACTCTCTGTGCATTATTCAAGTGCACGCATTGACCTTATACAATACCTTGCTTTTTATTCTGTCTATGGTAGGATGAAAAAAAACCACGCAATGAACATGTGAAGAAACGATAATAGAGTAACTCTACGCTTGTATAGATATTTCTTTTTAGAAATCAAGTAAAATTAATATTAAATAATAAAGTTTTGAGATGAGATATATGTTCATGTTTTTTTTGTATGTTAAATTAGCCAATAACAGTATACGATGTTGCAGCAATTAATTGTAACTGAAAGTCATGTTCAAATTTTCTCAAATGAAATTGTTTTCGCTTTCCTGAATCACTAACAGCAATTGATGCATCATGTTGAGGAGCAGGTATAGCCGATTTATATAATAAAAATATATATTGATGTGGACCTGTACCAGATGGTGGTGCTGGACCTTGATAATCAGCTATGAAATAAATGTAAAATTTAATAGGTTATAATTTTCTATA